TATACTTGAAGTTGATGCTTCGGATATTGGGGTAGGTGCTGTCTTGTCCCAAAGAGAGTCGCCTGAGAAGCCATTGCATCCATGTGGCTTCTTTTCTAAACAAATGTCCAAAGCAGAGAAAAATTATGATGTGGGTAATCGTGAACTCCTTGCTATTATTTTAGCACTTAAAGAGTGGAGACATTTGTTAGAGGGAACTAAGGATCCTATCCTCATTTTTATGGATCACAAGAACCTATCCTATCTTAGCGAAGCCAAAAGATTGTCTTCCAGGCAGGCTAGGTGGTCACTATTTTTGTCTCGTTTCAATTTTATTATCACCTATAGGCCAGGTGATCGCAACACTAAAGCTGACGCTCTGTCCAGACAGTTCGAAACTACTGACAAACAGGAGATTGATGTTACTCCTGTCATTCCCCCAGACAGGATAATAGCTACTACTATTTTGTCTATTTCCTCGTCCCTCTTGCAGACCATACAAGCGAAACAAAGCATGGCACCTAGCGAGAGGCCTAATGATAAACTGTTCGTTGATGTTCCGGAGAGATGGGATATCATGTCATTATATCATGATACTAAGACCGCTGGACATCCTGGTATTTCCAAAACGGTGTCAGCTGTTTCTCGGTATTTTTGGTGGGATTCCTTACGAAAGGATGTCACTGACTATATAAGTGCTTGTACTACTTGTGCCTGTATGAAATCCTCCCGTAGAGTTCCTTGTGGGCTGTTGCATCCGTTACCCGTTCCCGAGAGACTTTGGTCTAACCTGTCCATGGATTTTATTGTTGAATTACCCCCTTCAAATGGTAACACAGTAATCCTGATGATAGTGGATCGGTTCTCCAAAATGGCTCACTTCGTGTCTCTTCACAAGTTGCCCACATCTAAGGAACTGGCTCATATCTTCGCTAGAGAAGTATTTAGATTACATGGGATTCCCGTATCTATTGTATCCGATAGGGGTAGCCAATTTATTTCCAGGTTCTGGAGGGCCTTTTGTTCAGAAATGGGTATTTCTCTCTCATTTTCTTCCGCTTATCATCCCCAGTCTAATGGGGCTGCTGAGCGTGCCAACCAGTCTCTGGAGCAATACCTCCGTTGTTTTGTGTCTCACCATCAGGACAATTGGTCTGACCTGCTTCCTTGGGCTGAATTTGCTCGGAATAACGCCACTCATGATTCTTCCGGCAAGAGCCCTTTTTACGTTGTCTATGGCCTGCATCCCGTTGTTCTTCCGGCTGCATTCTCCTCACAGGGCATGCCAGTTCTGGATGAGCATTTGGCTGGTTTGCGTAATACTTGGGAGCAGGTTCAGCGTTCTTTGGTGGACTCTGCTACTCGCCAGAAGGCTCAGGCTGACAAGCATCGCAGAGCAGCTCCGTCCTATGTTGTGGGGGACAGGGTTTTGCTTTCCACGCGGAATATTCGTCTCCGGGTGCCTTCTATGAAATTGGCTCCCCGCTTCATTGGACCTTATCGTATTATACATAAGGTTAATCCTGTTTCTTATGCCTTAGGCCTGCCTAAGAATCTACGTATTCCTAATGTTTTTCACACCTCATTGTTGAAACCTTTCGTACGCAACCGCTATACCCGGCATACTCCTCCTCCCCCTCCTATCTCGGTGGAGGGTCATGAGGAGTTTGAAGTGTCTGCTGTTCTTGACTCTCGTTTCCTTAGGGGTCGACTTCAGTACTTGGTACATTGGAAGGGTTATGGGCCTGAGGAGCACAGTTGGATTTCGGCTGATGCTGTCCATGCTCCCCGTCTTGTGCGCTCTTTCCATTCTCGTTTTCCTGCCAGGCCTGGTCCTACCCGCCCGGGGGGCGTGTCCTCAGGGGGGGGTACTGTAGCGTTACTTACCTTAACCGGGGGCCGGTCGCGGTCCTCTCTTCAAGCCGCGCGCGGTCCTGCGGCTGCACGAGCCGCGCGCGGCTCATCCAACTACTTCGGATGGAGGGCGGGCAGTGACCGCGTGAGGCGGTCACGTGTCCCGCCTGAAACTAAGAGCGCGCCGCGAGTCTCGGGCGCGCTCTTAAAGGGACAGTGGGTGCCTAAATTGGAAAAGGCATCCCATTGGTCCCTGTCATGCCACACTCCCCATACACTTACCTTTTGGGGGCGTGGATGTGACAGGGACCAATCAAATTAGATGTTTAGGTATTTATACTCACCTTCTTCCCTTTGTTCCTTGCCCTATCGTGGTTTCTGTTTCAGTTCCCTTTAGCGCTTGTGGTGTTCAGTTGTGTTTTCTCGTATTGACTTTGGCTTCGTATTCTGACTTCGTTTTCGCTTTATCCTTATCTGTACTGTTTGCCGGCTTGCTGTTTTCCGTGTACCAGACCCCGGCTTGTCCTAGTTTACGCTGTCTCTCTGTGCCCTTGACCTCGGTTTGTTCCTGGCTCTGTCTTCTCTCATATACGTCAAGTCCGGCCATTCTAAGGTCCGGTAGACGTATCTCTCCTCTGTATTTGCCTCTGTTTAGCTGGATCCTGCGTGTAGGGGTATATTCTCGTTACACACTGGAGGTACAGACAAGTAGCAGCTCCCAGTTGACCGCCTGGGATCAGGATTGTTTTTTTTTATGTTTCCCTGATTAAAATAGTCATCCTACCAAAAACGTGGTAGGAAGTATTCAGAACACTCAAAGAGCAGATTCTAGAATGTATACATCTCTAGAGAAGGAGGATTCTAAACACAGGAACACTAAGTTTATTCCCTTGTCTGCAAATGATCTGTGTATAGCAAATTTTAGGTCAAATTTACTGAAAGAGAAAAAAAAGCTGCATTGGATGACTGCTCCCCTTCAGCATTTTTGCAATCCCACAATCTCAATCCCTGCAGTTTCCAGTACAGTGAATAACTGAACAGACAAAAAATTGCTCTCAGGTAGGTCCGACTTCTTTTAAGGCTCCCCGCTGAGCATGTGTTCTGCCTGATCTGAGGCTGTCTTAGACGACAACATTTTACTACATAGCAAGGTTCATTATTTATCGTCTTTCCTCCTGTGTTGATAATGTGTTTTCACGTATCTTAGTAGCTAACAATTTTACAACTCATACTGCATTGGAAAGATGTATTCATAACTCTTGGATACCCAGGACAACAGTGAGATTCGAAACAAGTCTTGGCATTTCAATACCAGCAAAGTAATGCACATGTTTGATTTTGGGTACTTTTAAAATGTTTTTGTCTACATTAAAAATATTTCCCTAAAGCTGTTAGTGTACCCACAGTATCTACTAGTTTAGACCTTGCTGGCACTATAAAACATATAGTAATACACTACAAATAGCTAAATCCAAAAAAACAATCTATTTTTCCCTAATTTAAACAGTTTGAAGTTAAATGATTGATCCATTCCTTATTCTGCTTCTAAAGCAGTAGAGAGATGGTACATTTATTACTTTAACCTCTTGTGTACAGTCGTACTAATACATACACATTGTCACCACTTGTGTCATAGAAAAATGCCATCAACAACACAGCTTATTAAAGGGACACTCCAGACCCCTAAAACACATCAGCTGGCTGAAGCACTTTATTTATGAACAGTGTATCCTCTTATTTTTTCCATTTACAAAAAGTGCAGATTTCAGTAGAATTTGGAACTTTTTTAAATTAACCTTGTTACACCATCTGAATGCCATATATTAATATACAGGGTGGCCCAAAAGTATATGTAACTGCTTTATGAGTTCTAAATTCTTTTATCTCCCCTCCACTATTCTTTCCAACGGGCCACACTGATATTTAAAAGCCTGTAATGTAACTGCTACTTTTTTGTGTGTCAGTGTGTATGTGTACCCATAAAGTCTTTTGGTTCACCCTGTATATTCTGATTGAATAACGTTATGTCACATTTAAAATAAGTCACTTATGATATTCAGTATATCTGTGCTGTACCACACTACTTCCTCAGCTGTTAACAGTCAATGACATGTTCCTATCTATCGCCTCCAGTTTTAATTTTTGTCGGTCCTATGTTGGAAAATAGAAAATGGAGAGAACGGCCGATCCTCCATGCCATTAGCGAACAGGCTGGGAGGTCCTGGCAGTGAAACGCATGCACAGGTTGCGTGGCTCACTTAGTGAAAATGTATTGGTCTGCAAAGGGTTTAGGGGAACCATTTATAATAGCACTCCCTTCTAACTGCCAGCTCGTCTTAATTCCAGATCCAACCCCCAACCCCTTAAATCAGGCTCTCTCTACTCCTCTTCTCTACTCTTGTGTAATTAGATTTCTCTCTCTCACTCCCAATTCTAGCTGTTCTCGTATCCCACCCCCCATAATCCCAGCTCCCTCTTACTCCGAGCTCTCTCCCGACTATTTCTGCTTATGCTGTCTCGCATAACGCTCTATTTACAGATTTCCTTCCAGTGTCTCCTTATGCCCAGTGCTTTTCTTTTTCCCTATTTTCACCCTCACCTCCTTTAATATCTGATATCTCCCCCATGTGTATAGTCTTTCCCTCTTTCGTTCACTGTATCTCCTATTTCCCCATTAGCTACAGCTCTCCTATTTCTCCACTAATTTCAATTATTCATTTATTCCATGTCTCTTAGGTTCCCCAGTATTACAGCTTGCCCACGCCACCGCCCTTCCTCAATCTCTCACCCTGTTCCATACCTCCCATAATTTCAAATGGACAAAGAGGGACACTTTAACTTTAAGGGTGTGATTGGGGTTGTGGGCATGGGGTGGGGTTGTTCTGGAAATCCCTAGGTGACTTACTAATAACAATTTATGCAACTAGAATTTAATTAATTAAAAGAACAATATATCTTATTTACACAGACAGATTTCTAAACACATGTATTGCAGTTTATAACACATCACTGTGAGTGTTATTGCAGAGGAGCTCTGTTATACTCTCAGACACACCAACAATATGTAACTCCTTGAAAAGAGGGTCATTAAAGCAGCACTGTCACCATCTGATGACTTTGCAAATTCACAAAGATCCCCAATGGTAACATCGCCGTGGGGTGGGGCCCGGTGGTCTGGGGAGGCATTTAAAGGTGAGATTACTTACCTGAACCTGTCCCTCACTGGTGATGGCTGTCGGGATTGGATCCACTCTGCCCTGAGTCTACAAAAGTCAGGTGAAGGAGTCACACAAAGTTAAAGTAGTCCCTACTTTGTCACTGCATGTCTCTTGACTGGGTTGGAATCTCAGATTCTATCTTTATCAAATACTAATTTTAGGAGGGGTGACAGTGCCGCTTTAAGAAAGAAAAGAGGGACAGAGATATTTGTGTTCAAAATAGGGACTGTCGTTTCTAAATAGGAACATTTATAGTATGCTATTCCACTTTAATGTCTCTCCTTTCCCTCTTCTTATATATAATACACCCTTTATTCTAAGTCCCTCTATTACATATTTCTTTCAATTCTACTCTTCCCCTCCGATTATGTTTTTACTGGGCTCATGGTGGTTATTGACAATTGCAATCCAGTAGACTTGGTTGTAGTCAATAAATCCCAGCACTGTTGCTTACCTGGTTGAATGTTAATTATGATAATCTATTTAGGATTCTATTCCCTTTCTGCTTACAGAAGCTGAAATCATGCCAGTATTGGTTTGGACAAGGTCATTTTTGTATCCAAGCTGTAATTGCACTGAGATTTTATGCCAAACCAGCAAGCACGTACCTGTGTTGCAATTGAGAATCCTGAATTCTCATTGCTTAAAGGGTAAAAAAAAGCATTGTATAGTTAGTTATAATGACAATGGGGTTTAATCACCAAACTAGGGATTTTGTAAAAATGACTGAGTTGTTGCCAATTTTAGGCCAAGATAGCTAAGCTGGAACATTGGATGAGATGGAGAATTTACGCACTTTGGATAATATTCACCTAAAATCTGTAATTTCCTTGTCAATAAACTGAATAAAACTCTTCTATAGATTATCTTTGTTTGACAAACTGCATAAGGGCTCTTCATAAATCAATGCTGTTGATTAATTCCATGTTGCACCACTATGAAGAAACTGCCTGGCCACGTCCTTGAGATACCAATCAATTTATGCTCCTGTACATGCCTCTTGCCCTGTTCAATGGACACATTAACTAGCCCGGAAAAAGAGGCTACTGACTAAAATATCAAGAATAGTAGACAAGCCTTGGCCTCTTATTGGAGGAACAAGTCACCGCCTCTAAACCTCTAGTCATTGGTAAATTACAGGACAATTGGGGATATTTAAAGTGACAGTTAAATTCCATCATTATTTTCATTATATTTATTAAAGTGATGTTAAAAAAGATGGTTTTCCACATAGTAAATTTCAGCAGTTTGCACAGAAATTTCTAGTTCAGCAAGCCAACATATTTATCGTGACAAAAACATTCTGACCTTTTTCGGTAGTAAAAAGTCTTCGATATATTCATAAAGATACCACATTAGCAAAAAAAAAAAAGAAATGGTGCCTATAAGACAGTCAGACTGCAAAAACCCAACAGATGGTTAAAAATCACAGATTTCAGAAATGTAATCAAAAATACAAATCCACCAAACATTACGTGATGGGCAAACTGTCCAAACTATGGGCCATAACACCCCACCTTTCTACCTCAAAACCAAATACATCTAGAAAGATTATTATTAAAACCATCCATGAGATCTTCCAGATGACCAAGAAAGATATCTACTGCCACCCTTCCCTTCCTCTGTTTCCTGGTTTTGCTTCCCTGTTTTGTATTCTTCTTACTGTCCTTTCTCTTCTGTGTCTTCATTTTCCTTTGTTTATGGTTTTCTTCAGTTAATAAATAAAACTTCTCAGCTCAGTGGGCTTGCATGAAACCGTTTTACTGGGAAGCATGTTTGGTGTATGTATATTGTGCATCATTTGCTGTATCATATTTCTTGCCCTGGTCTATGTATGTGCTCATCAGGGCCCAATTGGGAACTCAAAGTAGACCTAAAGAAAAAAATATTCCAGTCCTACAATTCATCGTGTCACATACTGTGTGTGTATTTATATTTCCGTACTTTGGGAGCTGTTAAATTGTTACTTACCTGCAGCCCTTCATTTCAGTTGATCCATGGGTGTAACAGTGCTGTTACACCCACCCTCTGGGTTGCACCCATCTGTTATGATTAGCCCTGCTTAGGGACACTTCACCAAGCAGGATAATCCTCCATGCTCATGCCAACATCAACATATCAGCATCCGTACATCAATGGCATCATTGGGGCAAATCTATCTTACATACATATGTCTGTTGTGTGTGTCAGTGAGCTTGTGTGATTTAATTCTGAAGAATAGGCTTTTTAAATATCTACCTATATATAATTAAAAATCACGTTCTTCAGAAATAAATCACACAAGCTCACTGACACATACAACAGACAAGCTCACTGGTACTCACACTCTCTGGAAAACATATACAAGCTCACTACAGACAAGGCTAGTGATGCGCCGAGACGCTGACTAGAGACAAATTCACTGACACACATACAAGCTCACTGACACACACACACTCACAAGCTCACTACAGATAAGTTGAATGACACACACACACAAACTTATTACAGACAAACTCACTGGAAAATACATACACGCTCACTACAGACAAACTCACTGACACACAGAGACACAGAAGCTCACTAACACACACAAGCTCACTGGTAAACATACACAATCAATATCAGTAATTGGCTGCTGCAAAACCTGCAAGTACCTGCTGTCTCTGGCATTAGGGACTCTGAAGGTTATCTCCTCCTGTCTGAAATGTCAAATCGGAAAAGAGCTTCCATTTGACACTAATAGGAACTGTATAATTTGAAATTGCATAAAAGTCACTTATTCCGTTGAAATGGCACATATATAAATAAATAGTGCTTCGTCATATTTATTGCTTGCCTAAAATCTTGTTGATATTTTCTAAGGATTGAATATATTATTCATGTGACACCAGGACACACACATCTACCTACCATTAATATTAATATATGCTTGGTTTATGTATTTTCATACATGCCCAACCCCCATAAAAAAAGATATCTGTTCACTGTGTGCTAAAAATATAACCGCATTCTATATAAATGAGCATTTAATGGCAGAATGCAATTCCCTAGGGCTGAAATGAGTATAGTTTAATAATATCATTCAGAGTCTTTCTGAACAAATCTCGCCAAATACTTAACATGTCATTATCTTTTCAAATGAAAGATTGAGTTAACTCATTTTGCCTCTCTATGTCCAGTGAAGAGTGCCAAGGTATAACATACATGTTGGTAATGTTAGTTATGTACTTTCAAGGCTTATATATGCTAGAGCAAGTGTGCCAAAAAGGTAGATCCCCAAATGTTTTAAAACTACAGCTTCCATGATGCTTCCATGCTTCCATGATGCTTTTGTCATTCTAAAGGCATGCAAAGCATCGTGGTAGTTATGGTTCTACAACACCTGGGGATCTACCTTCTGGGTTGCTCATTCCTAGAGCATGCACACCATCAACTGGCCAAGGATACGGGGAAGTAAAAAACTTGGAGTAGAGGAGATGAAAAATTGGGAGAAGTGGAATTCCAAGTGGCATGCAGTGGAAAAAGAGAGGAGAAATATATGCTGCAGTATGTCAAATTTCCAAATTAAAAACAAAAGGGAATATACTTACAGTGTGGGAAGCTATCTCGTAGCTAAATATGGTGCAGTATGTCAAATTTCTAAATTAAAACAGAAGGACATACACTTATATTGTAGGGAGCTATCTCTTAGCTAAGTGTATTTCCTTCTGTTTTTAATTTGGAAATTTGACATACTGCACTATATATTTATACTCTCTTTTTCCACTACATGTCACTTGGAATTTGAAGACACCTCCAAAGCGCTTCTTCCAATTTTGCTATTACCCCCAAAAGAGAGACTCTGGTTTGGGGGTAATAGCTGCCTTTCACATTTGGACATTGTAAGTGCTAGAAAACTCTTCTATCTTTTATTAAGTAAAAATACTTGTTCTAAGGGTTACATTTTGAGGGAAAAAGAGCAAGGTTAGAGTGTACAGAGCAACACACCACTGTCCAAGCCAGCTGAGAGATATGTCACCAGAAATTTATCCAGGACCTGACTGGCCATTTGGAAAAACTGGGCATATGCCGATTGTGTGGCAATGGCCATATGCCAACAGTTGAATGGGGAAGTCAGGAGATCTCCCCAGCTGCCCTAGTGAATCAGAGAAATAGAAAACATACTGGCAGAATGCAATTCCCTATATGGATTGGGAGTACAAATAAATATCACAGGACAAAGGCTTCCAGTCAAATCATTGAGGGGCATTATTGTGCAATGCTCTTACTCTACTTGCATTGTTTCGCTAATCAGTTCCTGGTATGTAATCTGGTTCTTTTTACCCATCCATGTGTTTTGTCATTTTTTGTTGCCATATATTTTGAATGTTTGTGTCTCTTTGTACCATTTTGTTTTTTTTACTATTTCTCTTTTTGACTTTTGTGATATTTTTGGATATTGGCATGTTGTTAGATATAGTATGTGTTTCTGGAAATTGGTATTGTAAGTCATGGTATAAATTGAATAAAGATTATTTATATATATCACCCCTCCCAATTTTTTGTATTATGCTATTTATAGACTCTGTAGGCATCAGATTTTTTTTAGTGAGCATCTATTTCCCGTTTGGATTCATTCATGCAGTCTTAATTGCAGGTTTAATGGTGTGCCCTCCATGCTAATCTTTTGTAATAACCGGAAATGTTTGAAACAAATAGTCCATTACTGGAACAAACGGAATGTCCCGGTCCTTAGCAACATCTTCTCCTGCAGCAACAATTTAAATCTGATGTTTATGGATTCCCAAACTTAAAAAGACAAGGGTCTCAATCAGCACTTTCAAAAGCACCTTATTCTATTGTATAAAAAGCATGGTACAAAAAGTTCAAAGGTGGTAATGGACACTAATGCAAATTGCACAGTTAAGGCAGTTTCTATGAGACTCATATTTGGTCAAGATGCAGTTTCCTTCTCTCCCTCCTACTGATGCTTGTTAGCTGAAATGTGATTAGGTTATAAAAAGCCATGCTGTTTCCTGGAATGGTCTTTGATAATGCAGTTCACACCAGAACTATATTATCAGAGCCCTGTGCAGGAAGCAACTCAAGTCTCTAGAGTTCCGCACAATGCAACCAATAAGAGGGAGAGAAGTAAGAACCCATGGTGCTACATCCAGGGCCAGATTAAGAGCCCAGTGGG